TAACAGGTCTTTAAATGTAAGTGTGGGATTAAGGCTGACTATTTAGATGAAAAGTGTTGACCAGTGTAACAGTGGCTTTTCCCCACTGGTAAGAACATGCCCCTTGGATTGGATGTAAATCAGCTGTTTGACCAACGTACCACTGGATATACCTCGCAGAAGTAGAAGAACAGTGGAACAATCTGTAAGGTGTAAGGTTATTGCAGTAGCCAAGCCACAGTACTCATAGAACCAGAGAACCAGGAAATAGATTCTATTCCTCGCTATACAAACGGACCAAGTGGCTTCTACTGAGCAAGCATATAAAATGAAGATCCTCATTCACATTAGCTGGTTTTCCTTACGTCTCTTTCATCTGCTTATCTAGTTTGCACCACTATTCTCTATTCTTGTGCTGCATTAGATGGATTCGGTTCAGTTTAATGTGGATTCTGTGATGCTAAAACCTGTGTGCAAAAATATTAAATAAAAAATGTTCTGTGTTTTATTGTGTGAGTAAAGTAATGCTTTAAAAATCATGAATGTTAGCATTTTATTGTCCTTTAATGTTTTGTTATTTTGCAAAATATTGTGGTGTGTACAAATTGTGTTGAAATTGTTTATATAGATATTGTAGATACTAATGTACATAATATTTAGAGTACATAAATAATGATTTACTTAAGGATGTGTGGCTGTAAATTTTAATGTCAAAAATGGAAGGTCGACACCTACCCATCAGCTTTCTAGCACATCATTTCATGCCTGTATAAGACATAATTAATGGACAATGTAACTCATTCTTTGTTTTTTTATTATGTTAATTGTATTCTGGCTATTTTGTCAGTAGATATATAAAAATATTAATAAAATGAAAAAAAAAAATCACGTTATAGTTGGCTCTGGTAAATTCAGTAGGTAATGTTTCACTTCATTAACTTTTTGCTCTGATGAATTTAGTTTTGAACCAAATTATCACCACACTGCATGTGTAAGAACATGTGTAGAGTAATTTACCAAAAGTGAAATCCTTTGATGCTATTCATTACACTAGACATGAAGGATCTGATGCCATCCCAACAAGTGCCAAGCAGTTGGACCATTGAATCAAAATTCACCTGGATGGTTTCAACAAATGTTGAATAAACTAAAATACAAATTCGTAAGTTATAAGAGGCTTGGGATAAACCAGCTGACAGAATGAGCCTGTTGAACAGGTAATATGCCCTCACTTGATAAGGCTGTATACAGACACTGTAGTCTGCTGGCTACAAGATGCCCAGCCCAGAAGCAATTCTAGGGACACTAGGGGCCTCAGCCAAAAGACTCCATGGGGCCCTCCAACACACCCCGCCTGACATGGTAAAATTTATGACCATTATTTTAGCGTTTAGTCTAAATTAATAATATCAACAAAGAGAATGTAATAAACACAATTAATTTATTTTCACTTTACTGTGAAAAACTCAATACACAAATAAAGTAGATCTGTTTTATGTAATCAGCTCAGCTTGGGCAGGACTTGTCTGTCCTGTCCCTACACCTCTGGCCCCTAACAGTCTTTTTTTTCTTTCAGCACAACATTAAACATGCTGATAAGTTTGTGCAGGTCATTTGTGTTTTTCAACAAATTAAATTTATTGTATTGTATAAAAGGGCTACAGAGAAAGGCTTCTGGAAAAAAAAAACGTTTATTTATGCAGTTCTTTATATAATAGACCAAAACTAAAAAACACCAACTGTTATATGGATTTAAGTGATAATGTTTTGTAACGGTTTTGAGTGTTCTTATTGTGAATCTCCAATGTTTCTGGATGCATCGCTACTATCACACAAAGCACTTCAAGCCTTTAGCCCAGGGGTACCCAATCTTATCCGTAAAGGGCCGGTGTGTATGCAGGTTTTTGGGATAACCTGTAGGTCAGCTGTTCAAACCCAGGTGTGAAGACTCTTTCAGCCAATCAGTCCTCTAATTAGTAATCTAATTAGGGAGTTGCAGCGAAAACCCGCATACACACCGGCCCTTTGCGGATAAGATTGGGTACCCCTGCTTTAGCCCAACTCGTGCTACATCTCAAACTTAGGCTTTGCCTCCCTCTTCAGGACAATCATGTAATGACACGTTGCTGATTTGTTTAAAACTTGGGGTCGCGTGACGCAGGTTACGGCGATTAATTTTGTTTTATCAAGCCTTTTCATTCTTCAGAAAAAAAAATCTATACAGTAGTAAGCAAGGTTCATATGCCATGCAAAGTATGAACAGTTACTTGGTATATAAAGGAAACTTGACAAATACATGAAAAAAACTCTCCAAACTCATTCTGGTATCCTCTCCACAAGCTGTCAAAGGTACTCCATATACCACTCATTTATGACATGCTTTGACATGCAGTGACATATGCCACACTACTCAAATCAGATGGCTTTTCACCATTGCTTACAGAAGGAGTTAAGCTGATTAAATGGTAATATGCCTTGTATGGTTTCAGAAGAGACTTTTGTTCTATGTGATTCCCCTAAAGTAGCGGTTCCCAATCTTTTCATCCCCATGACCGGTTTATGCTACACAATTATTTCCCGGACTGGTAAAAAGGCCAGGTTGGGGAGAGGATGGAAGTACCATCGGATCAATGGGGGATCTTATCATTTTAACCACTTCCATTTTTTTCACATGCGAACAGAATGTGCGAACATGAAGGGTTGTGAAAAATTATATATAATTTATTTTCGAAAATTAACCAATGCCTCTGCAAAACACCCAGCATTCTGCAGCCTGGTGGAATACCGGCCACAGACTCCCACCTCACCGACGGATTTTTCGTGTGATGGCTGCAGGTCACGTGTGACCATAAGGAGACCTAAATTTATGCCGGTGTTTCCCAACCCGGTCCTTGGGGACCCACAGACAGTCCACATTTTTGCTCCCTCCCAGCACCCTACCAAAAACGTGGACTGTCTGCGGGTTGTTCTGTCATAAAATACTACCTATCGAGACGTGCTATCGAGCCTTTCTGCGCATGTGCAGTTCCACCGTCTTGGGATTATGGTTAAATTTTAGGGGTTAGGGTTAAGGTAAGGGCTTTATGGGTTTTGGGGGGTTAGGGCTATCGATTAGCACTACGGTAGCATTTTTCGACAAGGCAGCATATATCGATAGAACAGGGTTCACGCGGACCGGATTGGGAAACACTGATTTAGACTAATGCTGCTCCACAGTAGCCAGCTTCACATGCCGGAATCGGATTCTACAGGCATGAGACATCGCTTCCTGTTGTGGGGTCATTAAAGGCTGACTCATGCCCCTCCCCCCACAGGGTCACAAGTGCATGCAAATCCCATGTTCACAATGGCTCTGCTATGCAAGGAACAGAAAGCCACACATGCAATGGTGACAAAATGCTACCATTTATTATGTTTCTCCTAGGGTTTCGTCAACTGTGAAGCTTCTGTCATTCAGCCTTTATCAGTCTTTAACTTAACAATGCTGACCATGAATCCACAAAAGCCGCTTTCATTGCCTATCTTTAGTTGCATTTGTCTTTCAAGGCTTACACAGCTAAGTACGTTACTAATCACTACATAGACTCGCCACTAGGGGGCAGGTTTCTTCTAGTAATAAATGTTTAGTTTGCAGTGAATTTGTCCTACAATTTTCAAACCGATCACATGTCTACAAAACTAAGTCCATTATGAAAAATTCCATCTTTTAAAACTGTGTTATAGGATAGGATAAGAGAAAAATCTGAGAAATCTTTGTTTTCTCCTTAAATCATAACTATATAAATATCTAGAGAAAAGTGTTTTGATATTCCACATAGCATTCATGAAACCTGTAGCATTCATTGTCAGAAATGTGTATGCACACACACACACAAACACACACACAATTTATTGTTTGAACTAATTTCTCCCCTTCTGAGTGTTTTCTTAGTATTTATGAGCTTATTTTGTACACAACAATCTAGACATTTTTTCTTGAAATTATGTCACAGAATCCTTATACCTAGCTCACAAAAACAACATCAAAGTACAAACAGAAATTAGTGGGACTTGATTGTCTTTTCTTATGTGTACTAGAATACGAAAATGCAAGTGTAAGGTATAACTACACTGCTTATATCACAATCACTGGTTACAAATTCTTTGACTTGACAAAATGTAAGATCAACTGCTTGTATTAGATAGATACATAGATAGATAGATAGAATGATGTGTTGTCATTGTCATTGTAAGTACAATGAGATTTAGTTTGGAACACGCCAGCAGATGCACAATATATTTGCAATTAAATAGATTCTGTGGCGAAAAATAGAATCTGAGAATAAAATATGTACAGACACTATGTACTATATATATATATATACACACACACACATACACACATAATAAGGTGCTGGTAAGTTTGTAAGTAGATTCACAGAGGTAGAGTATTCACTGGTCTAAACGCACATGTGGGATATTGCAAAATGTTCGAGATCAGTACTGTGAGTTCAGTAGTGTGATGGATGTGGGGTAAAAACTGTTCCTCAGCTGGGTTGTGTGGGCGTATAAGGTCCTATAGTGTCTACCAGATGGGAGAGGTGAAAAGAGTTTGTGTGAGAGGTTTGTGTGAAAGTATTAGTAATACTTATTAAGTTTAGGTTTCTTTTAGGCCATAAAGAGGAGCGACATTTATCCACTATACAATACAACAGATACAATCTGTTTCAGAGTGTAAAGCAACAGTCTTTAATTGCTTCACTCTTATTTAAATTAAAAAATCCTACAGTATGTATGATTCCTTAACCAATACACCACATGTTGTGTCCTAGCACAAAACTTCAGGTTCATTTACAGGTGGAAATACCATATGTGTAGAGTTGTGGTTTTCAGCTTGTTTTGTAAACAGATAAACTGACAAAGTACTGAGCAGGTTATCCGGCTGCACCTGGAAGCAGTGGTTAGCATGCTAACGTGCACTTTTCTTTCATTCATTGGTCTTTCAGCTCTATTGTCTGCCTGGCTTGGATTCTAGACAGGAATGTACTAAATTCCTCTGGATATTTATTGATATTCTTCTGACCAATGGAACAATAAAACAGACAGCTGCTATGGATTAGACAACAGCAAACATGTTCACATTCTGCAAACAAGTTGAAAACAGAAAAAATCAGATCAATGCACAGACTATGGGGGTATACATGTAATGGAATGCCAGAACAAATGAAAATCATGTTTAAAAATTGAACTTACAAAGCTTTATCCATGCCATAGGGTGCTTGTTGCTTACATGCCAGCTTCATAGGTATTAATAGGAAGGCAACAATATTTCAGTTTGAAATGGCTTCATTTTAAAAGCCCGTCATAGATACAATACAGCTTGGGCATAGGCAGGATAATCATTGCATAGATCAGCAATTCTATCCTGTCCTTTTCAGATAGGCGTACTGCATTTACCACACAACGTTATACCAGCTTTTACCCGACATGTTACAATGGCAGACAAAAAAAAAACAAAGGCAACATCTTCATAAAAGGGAGTTCTTAATAGTCAAAAGCAATGTCCCAAAATACATAACCTGTGGATACACATTTAGATTTTGTCAGCATTTTGCCACAAAACGCACGAAGTTGGAAGCTACATGATCAGCAACACTAGAAGTATCAGAACTATTGGATTTTGAACAATAAGTACCCAGACAACGACCTGCCTCTTTTGCTGGGTGCACTTCCCCACTGTACACGGAAAAAGACGAGCTAGTGAACGGAAGCGGATTCTTCAGAGTCATAGCCGATTGGTTCATCCAGAGTGAGGGGGAGTTTGTCCCCCTGCAATTCTTCCGGTCGGCATTTTGTGCAGCGCTGGGGGGGGGGGAAGAGAGAGAGAGAGAGTGAGAGTGAACGAGAGCAAGAGAGAGCGAGCGAGAATCTGAAGTAGATCCGTCTTGACCATCTCGGGTGTCGTCATATTTTTTTTTTCCTCCCCCAAAATACCCAACGATATTTTTCTCTCTCCCGCCCCCCCCTCCGCCGTTTCCTTCCCCTCAGGCGTGAAAGAAATCGGCGAATGTAGCGGTCAGAGGAGTTCCCCCCTCGGTTGCCGCCGTTCGAGCCTACATGTTCTCTGCGAGGCTGAAGAGGGACGGACCTGCCCGAGCCGGATTGTTGTTGTTGTTATTCGCTGGTTTACACAGTTTCTGCGGAGCAGCCGCGAGAGCAGCGCGAGGGGAAGCCGCGAGAGCAACGCGAGGCCGGACTTCCAACAATCTTTTTTTCTCCCAGTTTTTAATACCCCACAGCCAGAGGTAAACGGCCGGCCGGCCAGCCGCCCGTAAATGCACAACGGCGCCTTTATCGCCGCCTTTGAACGTTTCCGGTGCCTGCCTTAGATGCCATTTGAGGGGAAATCATCGCATTGGCGGGTCGGATTATGTGTCTTCTCCTTTATGGTTATTTTGCGTTTTGCCCGATGGGAGGCGTCGGGCCGCTGGTATGCCTTATACGTGGAGTCCGAGGATTCAGACAACCTGGAGAGGCCAAATCAGGCCGCTAAGAAACCATCCAGACGCCCTTTAAAATATTTATTTCTGCTGGTAAATAACCGGTGGTGTTTCTTCTCGCTTTTTGGCAGATTTATCGTTCGTGTTTGAATTCGATCGCTATTCCGACGAGCGACTTAGCTAGTTAGCTGTGTGATTCTAGCTCGTTAGCCACCTTCCCCGTAAAATGACTTTCACCAGAAGACTTAAATGAGTAAAGCAGTTACAGAAGAGCAAAAATGATTAAAGTCGTGAATTATATCTACCATTTGCAGGCACGTACATTCGAGCATGTTTGATTTTTGTTTTTCGTTTGACCAGCGGTGATTTTTTTTAATGTCACTTTGCCAGAGCCATGTCCTACTGCTGAATAAGCTAGCTAAGCTGCAAGGCAGTCCGTCCACCAAATATCCTGGGAGCGATCGCGACCTTCCTCTTATTTTTTCATAATTATTAGTGGACTAGAGGATGGCGTGGGCCACTTGAGTCTCAGTCCTAGACTATGAATAATTTAGAGTTTATTTACGGACCGGTAGTCCCGGCTTAGCATTGAAGCAGTGTAGCTACCTAGCCGTCCAGTTGACCTAACTGTGTTATTTATTTATTTAAAAAAATCACAATCATACGAGTGTGAGGGGAAGAAAAACTTCCCTGAAAAGTTACCGGTGTAACAATCGTTGACGCTAGGTGGATGTGGCTTTTTAGCCGACGCAATCAGCAGATAGCTGGGGGGAGGAACACTGACATTTTGTTGTTTACAAGTCTGATATGTGTGGCTGGCACACACAGAGTACGCTTTTAGTCAGCTAGCTGATCCAGAGGGACAGCACAATGAAGAATAAAAGAGAAAGAGAAATCACGGAGGATGCAAAGGCTGATGTACTTGACTGGCTTGCTGGCCACTGTTGGGAATCGGCGATCTTATAATTGGAGATGCATTACCCGGCACCCTTAAAATAGTTTCGTCTTATATCACAGGGAATAATTTATGAACGTGGATCATGGCCGGATACCAAACCGGAAATAAACAACCGACTGGAGTGGCGTGTTCGTGCGGCGCGGTCTGCCATGATAATGCCATTTTGATTTTAAAAGGAATTTCACCAGGTTTTCCCCGACTTGATTTATCTTGAGAAATGTAGTCGCACTAAACTAACCTGACAGAAGCATTTGCCAATGTGTTACTGCTGTGATGGCTGATGGGACGCCCTCGGACCATGGCGAGGTGTCAATGTTTTGCCGTACTCTCATCTGAGTTACTTGTTTAAAAATCTACCAATAAATGCTCATGTTAAACGGTCATGTTCACTTTGGTACCTTTGTAAGAGCGCAACATATATTACTTCTAATACAAATTAATGTTATGGGAACTGATATGCGACAGTGCGATATTTAGGGATATATTTCCGTGTAACTGCGCCGCTGTGTGTTTTTCTGAGGGGTTACCGATGTCTTTATTTACTAACTTTAAAATGTGTTGAACCAATGCGCTCCGTGTTTTAGCTAAGTTGTTGGTTTAGAACTAGATACACATGCATGTTTATTATGGGTCAGGGATGGGATGGGGGGGGCTTGTGGACGAGTTTGCCCGTCTTGTTTGAATAGCTCGCGAGTCCCGAGTCTCAGGCGCATGTTCTGACAAAACATCCTACCTATTGAGACGTGCTATCGAGCATTTCTGCGCATGTGCAGTTCCACCGTTTTGGGATTAGGGTTAGGTTTTAGGGGTTAGGGTTAAGGTAAGGGTTTTGGGAGGATTAGGGTAAGAGTTAGGGGTAGGGGTGTCGATTAGCACTACGGTAGGATGTTTTGATAAAGTATAGGACGTTTTGTCAGAACACCGGCCTGTTTCGCAAGTCGCCACCCCGCCGGTACCTGGTCCGCCCGGCCCATACCTATGACAACCAGCAGCTCGATACGTGGGGCAGCCGATCGGCATCCGGGCACTCCCGTTTCGGTTGAGTCTGGGGTTTCTTGGCAGCTTCCAGGCAGGATAAATAGAGCTAAGACGATCCGGTGGTAAATGCGACTTTTAAGGGGTCTCCAAGCAAACCCGGGGACGTGTTAGAGGATCGTTTTCTTCAGTAGCTAGATGAGGGTGAGAAGGCTAGACAGCGGGCTAGTTAGCCGCTGGAGCTTTCCTCGCGATGTAGGCTGGATGCCTGGGTCGGTTTTGTCATTTATATAAATATCAAAAACTGCATTAAGGATACGTGTTAAAATAATATGTTTCTCATGTTCGACGTTTCTGGTATTTTGCTGGTAGTGCGTTATAATGCGTGTTTGCGACTTGGGAAAATAGAAGACACAAGCCTTACGACCAGATATTATTGAAAATAATTAAAGTTCGCTTGGTGTGGTCAGATGAAAGCTGTTTTAAGCCTGTACATTGCACATACAACATCGGTGATAAAAAGGTCTCTAAACTACAGTAACAGAACAGCAAATGTATAGAAATGCATCCTGGGCTATTCGGCAGCGTGCTGTATGTATGTTTTTGAAACTAAATTCTTTGCATTTAAATAGTTTTAACAAAGTTGATGATTTGTTGCAAGGTGTGTATAACATGGTAGCCTGGAGCCTAGCCGACACGCACGGAATTTTAGTGTTTCATCTATATTGCATTTCTCTCTGTTGTGTAATTCGCAGGTTTAAACATCAGCGTACTATGGTTGTAATTTTGACGCGTGTACACGCCGCTTCAATATTTAAGTTTAATTGGATTGGCCGGAACGTTTGTGCCTCGTTGTGTATCAATGCGCTATCTGTGGTGATTTTCACTTTAGCAGTGCCTTGCAACAGACAGATTTGGTTCCTGTCCGTTTGTGTGCGCGCTGCTTTTTGTTGCTCCCTCAGCTACTTCACTCATTACTGCATCTGAAGATGGTTGTTTACTGAAAACGTTTGGGATCCGTTCAAGGGTTTTAAATATGCCTACATACACTCAGCTCACCGGTCCTAAATAGTAGAATTTCATGTACTGTCAGTCGATTAAAAAAATACATTTTTTAAGTATTCAAAGCTCTGTGAATGCGCCTTTTTGCAATATGCAGTTCTTTTGTATTAAAAGTGTGTGTGAGACACCTGCTGTCTGGATTATGTCTGTGATATTTAGAGGATTGACTGAATTTATAGGTAATGTCAAGTTTGCTTAATTAAAGGTAAGATCAAACTAAATCCCCTTTCATCACAAAACTGGGAGAATGTGACGTTACCTGCTAGTACTCACTCATTCATGAGGACCATGGTGTGCTGGGTTTGGCCTCACCTGAGCTCCTAATTGCTCTATTTAGATGATTAGTCTCTTCACCTGGGGTTTCAGGTATAAATCCAACCCTAATTAAAATCTGTTGTAAAACTCACAGGACACCACCCCTTGAGGACTGGAATTCGATACTCCTTTTCTCACGAGATGTGGAAAAGCCGTGTGCTGTTTTTTTTTGTAGAACATAGTAATTCTAAACATTTTAATAGAAAATGTATAATTTTAAATAAATGTATTGCAATAATTTAAACACCAGTTTACACATGTACAAATTCACTTCCCAAATTCTCATTTTCTTGTTTATTTGCAACTGTTGATATTCATAAGCAAATTTTGCAGCATTTGTTTAATACATAGTTTGAGAGTATTTTTCTGCTTCACAAGACTTTGTAAACATTGGCCTGTACAGCCAGTTTAGTGTCTTTGTTAAACTGTTGCTGATTGTTTATTAAGGTGCCTTAGATTAGCAAGTGCTTCTCAGATGGTATACTTTGCACTCCTTGAAAGTGTTGGTTGCTGCCTTTTTGGTCCATCAGAGCACAGTTCAAATTGGATTGGGCTGCTTTCATTCATCTGAGTACTCTGTTTTACATTAATATCAGCTTACTTATTGATTGGGACCACTGCAAATTAAGAGGCCTGTTACAGAAATTATATTAATAGGAAATATTTTTATTCTGCACCATTATGGGGTGCAGTTTCATGTAACGTGTTTTGATTTGTTTGTTATATTGTGAGATATATAATTACCCTATATAACCAAGTCTGTATGGTCTGTAATTTAATAAAAAGTAAAAGCTTTTTGAATTCTCATTAACTTGAACCTAAGCAGCAAGTATTAATGACAAAATAGCTACCTGTTACCTCATCTTTAACATTGGTGCCTCTCTAGATTTGGGTTCTGGATACTTGAAATGTAACTAAATGATACATAACCGTTGTTTCGTATAAGGGTAGTATGTGTTGTAATTAAGTACATGCATCTGTAGTTAACATGGTTTTGGCCCTCATTTATTTTTTTTTTATTAACTGAAGTATTAAGTTGTCTGTATTATTATGGACAAAAACATTGACCAGGGAAATTGGAAGATGGATGGATTGAATTATTTCTGACGACTGCTTATCTGTAGAGGTTCTTGGGGGAGGTTGGAGCCTATCCCAGGCAACATAGGGCACATGGTGGGGGTACGCCCTGGACAGGATGCCTGTCCTTGGCAGGACATGCACACTATGGGCAATTCAGAAATGCCAGTTCATTCAACTGCATGTCTTTGGACTGCATGTCTTTGGTCCCAAGAAAACCTGTGCACTGTGGGCATTCTGCATGATCTGAGTGCACAGGACTGTAACGGGGCACATACTGGTTTTCGGTTTGGTACGCACAGTGAAATGAATGAATATATTTATTGATGGGGTGGAACCTAGAGTTATAAGTAGATGTTCAGCACGAAAAGCATTGTAGCTGTGAGTTGGTTATGGGCAGCGCTGGTTAGTCAGTCAT